GTGGCGTTAAGCTGCAGCACTAAGGTGCCCGGCGGCGAGTTTTCCGGCAGCGACACGGTGTAAACGGGCTGCTCGAAGGCGGGGACGTTGTCGTTGGAGTCCAGCACCCTGATGGTGAGCAGGGCGGTGCCGGTGCGCTGTTGGGGCTGCCCGCCGTCCAACGCGGGCACGTGCACCGCTTGCTGCTCCCGGTCCAGGGGTTTGTCCAGCACCAGCTCGGCGAACCGATTGCCGTCCCCCTGAGTCTGCACGTCGAGGGAGAAGTAGCTGTTGGGGGTGATCTCGTAGGTGCGCAGCGAGTTGGTGCCCACGTCGGGGTCGAAGGCGCTCTCCAGGGGGAAGCGGGTGCCCGGCGTGGCACTCTCCGAGATCTCCACCGTGAGGTCGGGCTCCGGGAAGGAGGGGGGGTTGTCGTTGATGTCCAGCACCTCGATCTCCACCCGGAATAGCTCGAGGGGGTTCTCCAGGAAGACCTCCAGGTACAACAGGCAGGAGGGGCTCTGCTTGCAGATCTGCTCCCGGTCGATCTTCTCATTCACGTAGAGCACCCCGGTCTCCAGGTTGAGCTCCAGGTAAGGGCTGCGGGAGTTAGGCGCCGTCTGGAAGCGGCGAGCTGAAAGTTTTGTAATGTCCAAGCCCAGGTCCTCGGCGATATTCCCCACGAACGTGCCATGCTCCTGTTCTTCCTGCACCGTGTAATGGAGCTGGCAAAGGGCCCCCTCCACTATCCAGAGCAAGGCAAAGAGGAATAGCACAATCATCTCCAAATGGGGAAAGAGATCCCCCCTCCCCAACACCACCTCTTCCTCCTCTTCCAAAAGCCACCACCACCTCCTCCTCCTCCTCCGAAAATGCACAGTACAATACGTGTGTCTGTGTGTGCCTGTGTGTGATGTCTCTGTGTGTGTGTGTGGTGTGTCCGCGCCTGCGAGCGTGTGGAGAGAGAGAGAGAGGGATCGGGGGAGGGGGAAGGAAAGGGAGGGGAGGTTGATTTATGGGGGGTGTTAGATATTATTTCTTCTGATTCATGTTAGGATTTTTTTTCCTTCCCCCATCTCCCTCCTTTTTGTTACAAGTATTATTGTTTCACACGCTGACCAAATGAAGAAGACAGGCGTCCCCACTTCATCTGTGATCTTCAAAATAAATGGCCAACTAATAATAGCTATTAGCTGGATGTATCTAGAGATACACAGTAGCCCCCTTTTATTTATTCCGAGAGTCTTGG